GGTGGACAGTTGATTGACGTATTCAAAACCATCGTCTCGTTGACCTACACGAGCAATGAGGGCGCCCTTGCGGAACTCATCCTGGTACTCCTGTAGGCCCTTCTCAACACACCATGCGTCGACGTCGGCTAGGACGTGTTCCTCGCTATAACCGGCTAGGGGGTTCCTGAGCTTTGCGGCGACCGAAGCCTTTCGCTGCGGAGCAGCGCCGGCATGTTCATGATGCTGTCCGGCACCAAAGTCGGACTTGTCACTGCCCGATGATGAGAAGTTGGGCTCGGTAGCCTCGATGTCTGGCTTTCGACGAGACATGGTGACGACTGATCACAAGTATCGCGTCTAGATGGGATCTCCTGGGGGGAGTGGAGATGCTGATCGCAAAGTGGAGGAGTAAAAGGACACACGACCAGATGCCTGGGAACCATGACAGGTCGTGTTATATAGGGTATCCGGGGCACAGTTCACGCCCGCATTTTCTCCATCAAAGAGCGGGTCAAATCCTGCACCAGGGTGACAATCCCCATGTTTTCTCCACACCATCCTTCTCCGTTGCACTGGTTGGCGTATGTAACTATACATCGAGATCAGACACGGGGCGGCCGCGCCGAGAAATGGAGTTGTATGTTTACCCAAGATTAACCAAGAAGACATGTCTGGGACGATGTCATTGTGGGCACACGCGCTTGTTGGTTTCTCGGCGGAAGCTAAATCTATACTTGGCAGTGGAGCGCGGCAGGGCGTTCTGGGTAGCCAAGAAAGCACGTGAAGTCTCGTCGTAGCTCGCCTGAACATTGTTGAGCGTTCCGACCAATGGGGATTTTGTCGGTAAGGCTTGAGGGAACAACGTTGTGGTGAACGATTACGACGCCACATGACGAGCTTGGCGTCAAGCGGAATCCGCACTTGGCAGGGCGCATCTTTACCAGAAATGGCATCCCGTCTTATCGACTATCGGCACCCAGTTCCGGCCTCGACTCAAGGCTGTCAGCGCTCTGCATGCTCAGAAGTAGTGAGCCTGAGAAAGGAGCGTAGACAAAGTTTCGATGGGTGATAGAAAGGATAGTATTCATTGCTGGCTCGTAGGAAAATGCGACTGTTATACTTGAGACCTGGAAGTCTGGAAAGTGAAAAAGAAGATTGTCTTGGAAGATATTTACGAGCCGTGCGAACCGCTGAAAAGCCTGCAGAGCTTGAGCTTAGTAGAACACTTCTTTCGATAGTATGAGGCTTCAGTCCACTTGGGCGTGGGTCCACGCGCCGCGCAGCAGCAGATTGTCCATTTCCTTGGAAACCGTCTCGTTCGAGGCCTTGAGCTTCAAGTAGTGCTGGCTGGTCCTGCGTTCGTCCTCCACCCAGACGTTAGTGCCATTTGGGAACAGAAAGTTGTACCCATTTTCGTTTCCGTACTCGAACCAACTGCCCAGGCCCCTGCCCGCATAGACCATGGTTAAAAAGTCCCATGAGTATTCGGAGGTGTTGTAAGACCCCCAGTACTCCCAAGCCGATTTAACTGGGTCATTCGGGGGTCCACACACAGTAAACCGTGCGCCCGACAGGACCTCGACGCCCACCTCTGCGCCAAGGAAGGTCATCGGAACACAATCGGGCCATGTGTTGATGACGTGTGGAGCGTTCTGAATCGCGAAATTGTACTCCGCATCGATGGCTGGCTCTTGCGAGTAACCGCCGCCCATGACCACTAGTTCCTTCACCTTTGCCTTAACAAGCGCGTATCCATCCAACGCGGAGTATTTATCGCTGGTCGTATTGAGAAGGCCAGACAACGATCCCATGAAACCAATCGAGACAACAGTCACACTGTTGTTCTTCGCTTCCGCGAGCGTCTTCCGATAGAGCTCTACTGGATCCCAAGTCTTGTTAACCTGCCCATTAGGCACCGAGCCGCCGGACCATCCAGCAGCGACCTTGCTTGCATATTCTCCTCCGAATGGTTCAGGCGATGTGATGTTCGTGTAGGGTCTAGGCAACCCAATCGGGACGGAAGAATAGCCGTAGTGGTTCACGATGGCTGACGCTGCGTAGGCAGAGTATGTCGAATTGACGTTGATGTTCACAGCGAGGAGGTTTGTGTTCGGCAAAGTGCACGCGAGGAGCAGGGCTGCAGTATCGCTGTTGCACTGTCAGCTATGCGTTCAGGTTTTACGTGGTACAGGACACTTACTCAATAGCCTCAAAAAGATCAGCATCCACAAACAAGTTCTTTGTCTCTGGTGTTACACTCGACGCGACTGAGATCGCAAACGACGAGACTGCCAGCCAACAGGGCAGCATGAGTCGTGGAAACATGGCGTCGCAGACCCAAGGCAATGGAAGACAGGAAAAGAGGCTGGAGAATATACAGAGGCTAGCAAGAGGCGTAGGGTTGCGAAAGTGGCGGGATTCCCACGGTGTACAAGGAGGAAATACTTAACCTTCCAGTCTACCTGACTACTGCAGTGCGACGCCCCGCCATCGGATCTCCACAGTGAAAGTCTTCGGCGATAAACGGCAGATCCGGGTTCTCCATTGCACAGTAGTGCGCAGATCGGATCGAATGAAGTGTCGAGATCGTTGTGTACAGCATGCGGCGTGCGATAAGGGCGCGTGCAAGGGTTTGTCGCGTTTAGGCATTTAGGTGTCGTCCCGGACGCGCACTTGAGGCGACCTGGGATGTGTTTTCCTCGTTCTCTTCATTGCGCTCTTGCTGTGGTACTGTGATGTCGTGAAGCTAATGTGGTGGTCGAGTTCAGATGACGTGACGAGATCCGTGACGATCGTATCCGCCAGCTCGGAAGCTACGAAGGCATCACTAATAAGCATCAACATGCGCCGGTTTCTTCGACAAAGGATACTTTGCAGGTCATCCTCCAATTCTGCGACACAACTGCCAGAAAACTACAGATATGCACAAACTCGCACTTTACTTGGCCGCATCGCTGCTAGGGTTGACTGCCGCTTATCGCGAATGTGCCGACGCGAAAGACGTCATCGCCAAGCTCCACCTCGAGCCAAACCTAGAGAAGGGCTACTTTCGACAAACCTTTCAAGATACCGGTACCATCGGCAATCGCTCATACTCAACCGCCATCTACTACCTACTCGAAGGCCAATCTGGTCCATCTTACTGGCATCGCGTTACCGATGCTGTCGAGATATGGCACTTTTACGCTGGCGCCCCTCTGAAGCTTGAGCTTTCGTGGAACAACGGTACTGCGACTCAAAAGCAGATTCTAGGTAGCGACATCTTCAGGGACCAGGCTCCGCAAGTCATCATCGCAGAAAACCAGTGGCAGCGGGCGACCAGTTTAGGCAACTGGACGCTGGTAGGCACGACGGTCGCACCTGGCTTTTCGTTCGATGGCTACGAGTTGCCGGGACCAGAGTTCACGCCAGACGACGGTCATGGATCCCACAGTCTGTAGCGAAGCAGGGACACAGATACGCCCTCGAACCTAAAGAGGCTCCATGACCCCTATCTTGCCACATTGTCGACGCAAGGCTACCGGTGATGCCGGAGTCCGCTAGGCTCACCGACTTATCCACCACGACTCAGTTCGACAATCGCTCGCAAGCCCAACATCCGTAGAAATTCGCAAGAAGACATCAAAACCAGGGTGAAAACGTTCATGACTGCGCACGTGGAACCCAACTTTGAAGCCCCATTTGGTTCGCTCCGCGTACCGACATCATTAGCTGCAACATCTTTAACGTCGGACCCGAAATCTTCAGTACAACCATATTACGGCTAGTATGCTTTAAGAGAACAAGAGAAGGTGTAAATGTTTGGGTTCTTACCTTGTCAGGAGACAGTGGGCTGATCGGAGCGCGCATAATGTCCGTTGGATTGCCCGCTGCCGGACTTCGCTTCCTCGCGATCTAGACCTTGCATCACGCGACAAGATATCCGAAAACACCACTCCAGGCCCTTGCTATGTTAATGGAAGAGGAGGCTTATCCTCGGGTCTTCAGATGCATCAGCTGTGGCGCGCCTTCTCATGGTCTATCTCCGACTGAGCCATGCGAACGAGGAAGACACCAGAGATAGGCAAGCTCACACACCAAAACCCATCTCAATATTATCAGATGATAGTATACAGACCACTGGTATCTCCTCGTGATGATGCAGTCTTCTCCTTAGGCTCTAGTCGCACCCCCGAGGGTCGACCACTGTACTCCGCTCGCGCAACGCAGTCATTCTGATACCGATCAATCTACCATAACACACAGACTTGATGATACGCGCATTCAACTGTCCGTGGCGTCAGAAGCTGCTACCTGTCTCAGCAACACTAACTTCTGGTATCTCTAGTCGTACATACGATTCAGACGACAGGCTTCCCAGCACGCGCATTCACAAGTCATTAATTTCGCGCCACTTCAGCCCTTTGCAATGTTCCTACTACAATCCGATGGTGGCTCACGGCTGAGTAAGCTCCAACGTACAAACAAGAGGAGCGGGTTGGCTGCGGACTTTGCGCAAGCCACGACGTGTGATCTAAGCGTAGCTGCTTCGGGCACTGGGTTGCCGCATCCTTCCCGCCGCCTGATGCAGATACGGTGTGCCCTAGTCAGGAGTGAGCGATCAATACCCATGCTGACTGTGTTCGTGTATGACTACGAGGTCATCCATCTCCATCACCGTTTGCCCACATTCACATTCGAGCGAGGCGTTCCAAACAATACGACATCCGAATGTCAAATCTCCGTTCTTCGCAGCTCAAAGTCATACTATCATTGTCTTCATTCGTGGACATGGCGAAAGGGTGGGTCCGTATTCCGCCATGGCGTTTGCGGAAGCAGTCGAGTGAGCAGAAGGACTATTGATCATCTGTGCTGAAGCATGAAAACCATCTGTCATGAAATCAGATATAAGAGCTCAAACGCTCTGCTCCATTGCTCCACAGCAGCATCTTCGGCAGCGTCCTCGCTTCGCACTGTTGTCTTCTTTTCTGTCGATCTTTATCACTCAACACTCGTTACTTCCATCGTATTAAGCTGAAATGAAGTCTTTTGCCATCCTCGGGACGGCTCTCTTGGGCCTTCTCGTTCCAGTAACTACCGCGATAGCGATTCCGTCTGAGACCACTGAGCTCGCGCCTTTTACGCCAAAACGAGATGGCCTCGAGGAACGTCAGTCATCGGCGTGTGTCAATGGTCCCACTACGAGGAATTGCTGGACCAGTGGATTCAACTCTTCTACGGACATGTACACCTCATGGCCTAATACCGGTGTGGTTCGCTCCTACAATCTACGCATCGAGAATACAACTTGCAACCCTGACGGTGCTGGGTCAAGGGTTTGCATGTTGATCAATGGAAGAACTCCGGGTCCCACCATCGTTGCCAACTGGGGTGACACCATCAGAATCACTGTTCGCAACATGCTTCAATCCAATGGCACTTCCATCCACTGGCACGGCTTCCGCATGCTCAACAAGAACATCCAGGATGGTGTCAACGGGGTAACGGAATGTGCGGTAGCACCGGGTGACCTCAAGACGTACGAATTTCAGGCAACCGAATACGGCACGACATGGTATCACTCGCATTTCTCGCATCAGTACGGAGATGGAGTTGTCGGAACGTTCATTGTCAACGGTCCTGCCACCGCAAACTATGACGAGGACCTTGGAGTTATGCCAATTACAGACTGGTTTTACAAGACCGCCTTTCAAGCAGCCTCCATCGCATTCCAGAATGGACAGGCTGGTCTGGGTCCCCCAGTACCCGACAACATCCTGATCAACGGCACTTCTAAGAACGCAGCCGGAGGTGGTGCTTACAATCGAGTGACGATGCAAGCGGGTAAGCGCTATCGTCTGCGACTTGTGAACACTGCAGTCGACACCAGCATGACTGTTAACCTCGACGGCCATCCCTTCCAAGTCATTGCAAACGACTTCGTTCCCGTCGTCCCATACAACACCACTCACCTTCAACTTGGTATCGGCCAACGCTACGACGTCATCATCACTGCCAACCAAACAGCTGGAAACTACTGGTTCCGCGCCGACGCTAACGGCCTTTGCCAGTCACGCTCCATTCTCCCAGGACGCGCCATCTTCACGTACCAAGGACAGACAGTGGCTGATCCCACCTCAACTGCTCCAACCAACCCCTTCACAATCTGCGCTGATCCTATCACCACCCCGAAAGTCGCAAAGAACGTGCCCAGCACCACATTCGCCGCCCAAGCCAAGAACCTCCCCGTCGCTTTCGGTCCAGTAGCAGCAAATGGCAACACAGTTCTGTGGACCATCAACGGCACGTCCATCATCATCGACCCCGGAAAGCCGACCGTCCAATATGTTGCAGAGAACAACAACAGTATCCCGCAATCTTACAACGTTGTGCAGGTACCATCAACATCGGCATCCACTTGGACTTACTGGGTCATACAACAAGCTGTAGGAGCACCGCCCATCGCCCACCCCATCCATCTTCACGGCCATGACAGCTATGTCCTTGGCGGCGGTGACGGCCAATTCAGCATGGCAACGCATTTCAGCTCGCTTCGCTTCACCAACCCACCGCGTCGCGACGTTGTTCAGCTCAGAGGGAGTGGGTGGCTCGTTCTCGCATATCCGACTGATAACCCCGGTGCTGTAAGTAAACACTCTTATCTCAACCATCCCAACCATCCCCCAATATCGCCACTGATATAACAAATACTAACTCCTTCTCCCCAGTGGCTCATGCACTGCCACATCGCCTTCCACGTCGGCATGGGCCTCGGCATCCAGTTCCTGGAGCGCAAATCCGAAATCAATCTTCCGGCTGCTGGCTCTGAGTGGAAGCAGAATTGCGCTAATTGGGCTGCTTACAAGGCTGGGACGACGGATGTTTGGCCTCAGGACGACTCTGGTCTTAAGAAGCGTTGGCCTCCTCTTGTTGAGGGTACCTCGTCGTTCATGCTGGACTAGGCTGAGCACGGAATTGTTCTCTCTTCGCAGGAGACTCCGAGGGCAAGCAATACTTCGTCCAGCTATAGGCGGTGCGATGCTCTTCCACTCGCGACGTTTGCTGGCAGCGGTCCGGCCTTCCCTAGACTTTGTATTCTCTTCTCACACTCCTTCAACCCTATTCTGACTTTACCCCTTCTTTCTCATACATATCTTGTCATCGCTGCTCTCCACTTTGTTTTGGGGGGCGACATGTACATACTTGCTCCGCTACTTCCACCCTTCTTGTAGATATTGCAATAACACCCCTTTCGCGAGAGTTATCCGAATTCGCACCCTAAACTATGTGCGACCATTTTTATCCTGATAATCTGTGTGGCGTTCAGGTCCTTAAGCGCATACATGTCGCTAGTCCATCTCACCACCGCAGCCACCCAAGTACGCAGTTCATACCTCCACTCCACCCATCTTCACCCCAGACCCTTTCCGCATCCCATCCCATCTCGATCCCCACCCCCGAATCACCCCACCAATCTCCATCCGGCCATCGCACGGTGTCGCAGCTCCCGCTTATCACACCCAAGCCGCGAGGCACGTCTTGCCGTCCCATCCCAGCCAATCACCATCGTCTCAGAAATTGCCGGGTAAGCCCAGCACAAGGGTAGCGAGCGGGGAACACCCGACCTCCACCACCGCATTCAACATGCTGACCATTGTTTTCATGTTCTCTCAAGCAAGCTGTAGCGAAGGAGGCTTTTCGGCGTAATCGTGATATATATCCAGCCAGTTGGGAGACAGCTGCGTACAGACCGAGCCGTGGCGGCGGTATTCGAACGAATGGGAATATCGAATAGTGTACACGGAGACCGAGGCGCACGGCTTGGAAGACGGGGGAGTGAGATGGATGAGTGGTTGACCAAGAAGAGGGCGCTCGAGATGTCGTGTTCCCCACTGTGCATGTGCGTGTGGAGGAGGAGTGGTGAGCGAAGGCGGACAGGGAAGCTCTCGAGTTGATAAGCGTGGAGTACCCTGAGTTTGTGCTCGAGCTACAAGGCCATCGTATGGTTACTACAGTACTACATTAGTTACTCTGCATCACCCGTGTATTGCAAGCATACCTACTACAACCACCATGGCGACAACAACAGTGACCTCGCACAGCACAGACTCCGATCGCATCGACAAAGAGCCACATCTCGCACACACATCAACCAACATCTCAATCAGCCCAGAGCTGTTCGAGAAACTCTATCTCGCGCCGAAGACACCACATGCAAATGAGAACGTCGGAAAATATGCTAATGCGACACCTTTGGGCTTCTTGGGGTGAGACCCTCTTTACGGAGTGGACGGTGTCGATACTAAGAATGGCAGATTCGTCATCTCAACTTTCACATTCTCCATGGTACTAATGGGTTGGGGCGGTGCCGCCGGAATGCAAGCAGTCGTGTACGTCCTTCCCTCCCTCACCCCTTCCCACTCCCCTCACTCCTCCCATGCCCCCCTACTCCCCCTATTAACCCCCTCACAGCGGCATATTCTTCTTCACAGGCCCCCTCCTCCTAACCCTCTCCACAATCTTCCTCTGGATCCAAGCCCAATTCTTCCCCATGATGGTATGCGGTCTCTTCGCCGTCTTCTGGCTCTCCTTCGGTATGTTGCAACTGCCCACCCTCGGTCTCGCCGCCGCCTATTCACCGACTGGCGATGCAGCGGCAGGAATGGTGAGCAAGGAGATGAACGCGGTCATTGCGTTGTATTTGCTTGTTTGGGGGTTTGCGCTAGCAACGTTTTGGCTCTTTACTATCCGGATCAACATGGTCTTTGCGGGTATCTTCGGATTTGTGACGGTCGGGGCTTGGGTGTTGAGTGGAGCGTACTGGGCGTTGAGTACGGGGGATTTTGATAAGGCGTTGAAGTTGCAGAAGGTGAGTTACACTGGTGGCATTTTTGAGGGGTCGTTACTGATGCGTACAGGCTGGTGGAGCGCTCTTGTTCATAGTAGGCTTGCTGGGCTGGTACATGCTCTTCGTCATTATGGCTGCAGAGATGCGCTGGTCTGTATGCCCGCCTGTTGGAGATCTTAGCAAATACTGGGCGAAGACGGATGTCGAGATTGGTGCAAATGCGAGCGAGAAGAAAGATTGAGCATGGGATCGTGTCTTTTGAAAGCGACACTGATGTTATGTAGATGGTGCGGTAATACTTCGCATGTAATTGCTGATGTAAAACTTTTCACAAGGACGCAGCTCGACGAGCAAACGAACTCATGGCCCTACAGTCCCCGCGACCTTCTTTTCCTGCAACTCTTTCCTGTCGCGTCTCTGTACAGCAACGGTCTTACTGGTGTACTTTCTCTTGTCTACCGACGGAATGAAGAACGCGGCGACCACTCCCAGCAGACCGAACGCTAAGGCCACTAGATACGACAAATGCGCACCCTCCAAGTATGCTTGCTTATTCCCTAAACTGGCTGCAGCTCGAATAGCAGGAGTTATACCTGGGATAGCTTGGTACCCGGCAGCTGTGTTCGCTCTCGCTGCGGTGATCAACCTAGTGACGATATCCGAGGAGAGATTGAAGGGGGCAAGATTAGCACGAACGCGCGCAGGTAAGGCGTCTCCGTACTTGTTGTTCGTAACGTTTCCAAAGATGGCGGTAGCGACAGCGCCAGCAAGTAAACGAGAGGTTCCCGCAAGACCGGCTGCCGTGCCTATATCTTCCTGATATACGATTCCGAAGCCTACCAAGACCATGCCGTTCAAGAGGTTGACAGAGGTACATGTCGAGATGATGACTGTAAGGATGATTGACTTGACGGGATTGTCCATTGTAGATGTGGACATGGCGCCGACGCAGGCTGTCTGTAACGCGACGGCGAACATTATGACCCAACGTTGGTGTCCGATGACCTTGCTGAAAGCCACAATGATGCCACCGATGATGGTTCCGAGAGGTAGGACTTCGGCATACAAGCCTTTGGATATCTCGTCGGTGGCGTAGATGAGTTGGGATAGGCGTGGCCACAGAGTTGCGTTCGAGTAGTATTGCATTCTGTAATTCGTTAGCATAGGCCTTATTGTCAAGTGGAGCAACATACCCGCCTATGGCCATGACTAACATCGGCACGGTAAAGTGGCGAAGTGCTCTGAAAAGACGCGGCGGAAAAAGTGGTGCCGTCAGATTATAGTAGGCCTCGTAGAATCCAAGACCGATCAAGGTCACTAGTCCGATAATGATAGGCGCGAGAACTGTAGCAGAAACCCAAGGAGCCTGAGATCCACCCCAGCTGACACCAACGATGAATAGTGTACACCCAGCCAGGAATAGAAAGAGACCCAGCCAGTCGAATTCGCGTAGAAGCTGTCCAGCAGTCTTACCATGTTCAGCCTTCTTATCCTTCCAGGATGGCGGGTGGTAGAACAAGATCAGAAGGGCAAGGTTAATAGCCTGGAAGCCTATCATAACATAGTAGCAGATGCGCCAGTTGCCCGTCTGCTTGATGATGACCCAACTGACCAACGGCATAATCTGCGCTATGATGGAAGCAGCGTCGAACAACCCAATGGTAACATGACGATATTTGCTCGGCACGATCTCTTGGACAGCACCAAAGGCCATCTCCAGGAAGCCTGAACCGCAGCCAAACAAAGCACCGCCGGCTATCATCTGGTTGATGCTTTGTCCGGTTGCTGAAACGATACTGCCGATGATGAGAATGATAGCTCCGGCGATGAAGAACCATCGTCTGCCAAAGATGTCTGAAAGTCGTCCACCAACGGTGACAAACATCGCGCCACCAAGGTTCCACGATATCGTAATCCAGGTGTATCTAGGATCTGGACCAAGATCGGCATTGATATACGTGAGGATCGCTGGTGGGATGAGGAGGGTAAAGAGGTAGGCGTTGTAGCACATGGCCATAGACACGGCGGCCATCAATGTGCGAACTGGAATGAGTTAGATATGACTGGTGGCCAGTCCGGATGTTGGGCATTACACACAGGTCATGCCGACATCTTCACCGGTGGTTTGTAGATGGCGGATGATCTCTTCGTTGGCGTCATTGCTGGAGATGTAATTGTCGTGATCCGATGTATTCGTGCTGTGCTCGAGCGCTTCGATGTGTGCCACCGAGGGCTCGCGGTCTCCTTTCGCAGCCATAGCGTAGCAAGCGACAATGGAGAAGAGTACTACGAAGTACTGAAAAATATCCGAATCCAGAGCTGGAGGATCAGCACTGTCATAAATACCGTCCCGCTGTTCCTAGTGTGATCCGTCAGCTACCCCGGAATTCACCCCAAACATCCCCACCCATGCGTGGAGATAGCGACATGGCACTTATGCACATGCAAGCGTCTCAAAATTCTAGTACACTTGGGAGCGTTGTACCGATATGAGCATAAGCACTGTCATTGCCGGTTTGGGTAAAGAACTGCATGTCGTATGGCGTCAGTGAGGGAACATGATTGGTCACGGCTCCTTCAGTCGGAAAAACATAGCCAATGCCGACTTAGTATACCCGGTGTTGGCTATCGTTGTCCTGTGTGTGCAACAGTCAGCGGAGGATTACGCACTGGAGTTCGCATTGCTGTGGGTTTTTTAGTGTCCCCCCGAGCGCATGGTGTGCCATCCATCCAATGCATCTCTTCCAAGCTCTGTTCTCGTATGCGAACGCCCTTGAGAAAGGACATGTGATCGCATTCGCTCATTCTCGTAGGATGAGACGTGGTATCATCTGATACGCTGCGTACTTGAATTGCGATGGCAGGTATAAGTGGAAGAACAAAGATCAATTTTTGCCATAGCTGGATATCGCGAGTATGTCGTAACGCCTTCAAATGCTGTATCCACAAACGCCATACAAATAAAGAAACGGAAATCTCATAGGGCCTCGAGTTCGAAATCGTCCAGCTTGTCGCGGTACTTCATGATGTTGCGCTTAATCTTGGAGGAATCGACCCATGTGACGAAATCTTCCATATTCCTCGAGACCAGATACGCTGGGTCTGTGATGACGT